CTGGGTCAGATATAAACCAGATATAAACCAAGTTTAGATGTAGTTTATTTTCGTTGTGCTGACTTTTTACAGTCAGTTACAATAACTCGTACTGCGTACTAGCTAGCATGACAGAGTTTTCATCAGCATTGTTGTAGCGAACTTTATTTTATTCATAAGGTTAGTTAGTAGAGTTGCCAACCGTCCCGTAAAATCGTCTCGTATTCAGAGAAAATATTACGCCTTTCGTATTGAGCTTAAAAGGAAAGCAGTTTGTCCCGGACTTCAGCTACAATGGAAAAAGACACAAAGCTGGAGTTATTCTGTCGTTACGCTGCACAGCTGCCTCCTCTCCTCTCATTCTCTCCCCCTCCCTCTCCTGTTGCTACTTCAATCATGAAACTGATCGGCTTTTCTGGCTCAAGTCCAGTCTCTCTTGTTTGAGGGGGGACGTTGTTAGCTTTCCACATTCCGACACTTCAAAAGCTTCAGGAGCTTTCCGCTCAGCACAGCATCAGCACCACGGAGATACACGGATACATCCGTAGACTCGAGACAGAATTCCCAATGCGTTTTTGGGACTTTCAGGTGTATGGACCAATGTTTTATTTTCTGATCAAACCAGAAATCTTTAATGAGCAGCTAGATTTGTCTCGCATTAAATGGCTGAGTTAATGCCAGTTAATGCAACATCGAAGCAGCTGGGATCCACAGCTGTGCGTGTTCATGGAGCTTGCATTTTCACCTGCTGGACATCACTACCTGACAAGTTTAACTGTCTTCAGAACATTGCAAAGGCCTTATTGACAGTATTTGGGTCTACATATCTGTGTGAGCAGATTTTCTCTCACATGAAGAGCGTCCTCGCTTAGCTGCTTGGAGACCTGTGTCTCTGAGTGGGAGACCAGAGATCATATTAACATGTGTGTCTCTGTATTAACAAACATGCCATATTGGCCCAGTTTATTTTATTTATCATTGTTGTGAGGAGACCATAAATAGCATTTGTATTTTCTGTTGTACAGTTCATTTGCTGTCATGGAGTTCTTGTTATTGATAAAAAGTGTTTGTTTTTTTTGTTTCGAAATAGCTGGTAACTATTTGCTGATAGCTGCCAACATCTGCGAACAAATATAATTCTATAAAGTTGTTCTATATAGTGTGTAACTGCTAATATAGAGCCTTATTAAATTTATTGCTAATGCAATCATATGGCACACTGACCTCTGAGGAAATTTTAAATGGCACTCGCCATCAGAAAGGTTGCCTACCCCTGATTTAGAGCAATGTTTGTCACTTTGGTTAATTGCTCAACTCAGGCTGTTTTTGTTCAGTCTTTTTCTAACTGAACTTTCACATTTAACATGCTAACTGAAGCCTGTAGAGTCTGAGATGTAGCTCTTTTATTTTCTGTATTGTACAGTCTGACATAGGGGTAAATTTGCTGGGATTGGTGACTGTGTTGCATGTTTTGAATAATCTTCTTCAGAGTAGACTTTTGGTGTAAGCTGATAATGAATGAAGAAAGCTATAAAAAGCTGCTGTTTTTTTAATTTTCCAAGAGAGGTAATGCACATAATGCAGAGACGAGCGCACGGGGGATATCCAAATTCTAGGAAGGCAGCCTGCTGCTGTACACAGGCGGATTCTTAACAACTTGACTGTTTTCTCCAACCACACAAAGAGTGCTGTTCCCATTCTGGGAAGTCTACTCATTGGTGTAGGCAGCTCTTCAAATTAGCTATATATGAGCAGCTGTATTAGCTTTGACTTAATATATGTTAAATAGTATACTTTCCTGTTTTAAAATTTATGATGGCTCAAACCTTACAAATTATAACTCATCACCACTTGTGTGAACTAAAAGGGTGTCATCATTTTTCTTTTCAATCCATTAAGTACCACATTTTACACACTGAGCAAGAAAGGAAGTAAGCTCTTTATGGTGACCCCAGAAATTTTAATGTATCACTTTCTAGCATACACTTGGCATTGCTCTACATTTTACAGTGCAGTATAAGAGTCCCGCCACAAGGAGACACTAAAGGATTTCAAATCAACTGTTTCTGCTTCCAAAGCGGCGCCAACCGTCACCACCGATGATCGTACTTATATAACATAGACTGTGGATGCATGTTTGAGTTGATACATCACTTAAAGCCACCACTGTTCAGACATCACATTATAGGGGTTGAAAAAAATTCCAGTCTTTTATTGTAGAAGTGCTGGACTCAACCTGACCTGCTAGAATAAGGACGAGGTGTGATTGTGTTAGATAGATAGATAGATAGATAGATAGATAGATAGATAGATAGATAGATAGATAGATAGATAGATAGATAGATTTTTGTTATATATTGCTTAACAAATATATCAGACCACCATGCACGAATTTCCAAATGTGCTATTTTAGAAAAAAATTGGAAAAAATAGTAAAGCATATTATTGTTTTTTATGAAAATGACATCTTAAATTTGATTGAGCTACCTTCAAACTTTAAAGTAAACATTTCAATGTTACAATGAAATCCTATGCTGCTACTATCTATAAAAACAGAGAAAATATCTACCTATATCATCTGCCCATTAGGTCTCTTTTTGATACACAACATTTTCATCCCTGGGTACATAACGTTTTTTGTTGTTGTTGACAGTTCTCAGGAGGGACCTAAAATAAATAATGTGTCAGTTATGAAAACTTCACTGGACATGGAAAGTGCAGCGTATATAAGCTACTTATTGAACAACATGATTTATGGGAGGTAGGGTAACAGGGGTGTCAAACATAGGGCCCAGGGGACAGACGCAACCCACAAAAGGGTCTAATTTGTCTCATTGGATGGCTCAGCATGTGACAACTACAGTGAAGTAATTAATAAATCTATGCTGCAAACCCAGGTTTGCTGATCCAAGCATTTATATAAAACACAGGAGTCTAAAAATCTGGGGAGTTCAAAGTCTTTTTAGAAAGACTATTTCTTTCATTTTGTAGAAAAAATACTTTCTGTTGTGTGGCAACATTGTTTTTCGCTTAGGAACAACAGTTTAAAAAATCGAATGGCTCACGTGACGCAGAGCTGTTTTTATTTACTTGTCTGGAACACTTGAGATGCAATCGAGCTATATTTGGCCCTTGATAAGATGTGCTTCATATCCCTTGTGCGTAGAAAACGGGGATCTCTCTTCAAGGGGAAAAGTGGGATTAGTAGGTGGGGTGGTCCTAATGGTAAAATTAGTAAATTCAATACAAATAAAATAAGAAAAGGTATATGAGATAGTAAGATAAAAAGAACATGGGGACATAAACATGCAATTATTTTGCAAACTTGTTTCTGAAAAAATAAAATCAAATAAAAACAGCTTCTTCTTTTCTTAACCACCCATCCAAAGTTTTGTCTATAACTAACTTAAAATGAAATGGAGAAAAGCCAAACTTTTGAGATAATAACATGAAATTTTGAGTTATAGATACAAATAAATAATGTATTTTAAAAAAGGTTTTTATCAATAGCGGAAGCAAGCTTTCATATTTATGATCTTCATTTATGAGTCAAAATAAAATGCATAAAAAGCAAAACAAAACAAAAAATAAAAAATAAATAAATAAAGTGAAGTTCGTGAAAAATAATACAGCTTTTAAATATTTTGCTTTCCTGAGAACTCACTAAACCCTAAACCCTTTATCTAGTCTTAAACCTAAAAGAAACGTTTCCATACCTTTATTTTAATTTGTTTTCATGTATGTTTTACTTAAAGTCAGCTAGTCACCGTAATGTGCGCTAATCCCCCAAATAATCCCTTAAAATCCAACGCAGTGTTTAATTGTGAAAAGCTGGGACAGGAAGTTGTAGATTTATGCTGGTTAGCGTAACAGCGGTTGCCGCCGGGGTCTACGGGACCGTCCCTCCCAGGAAGACAGAACCCGACACCGCCTCCTGCTCCTCCTGCCTCCGTCGTTGAGGGCCGTCCTGGAGAGCGGTCCGCCGTCTCTTCTTCGTATTGGACACTGTCATCACTCATTTTTATTCAGCGAGCTGGTTAGCAGGTATTAGCCACCCAAACCAAAGACTGTGTCAACATCTGGTTGCTTCTGCAAAGCTAAGCATAAACCGCTAATCTTTTTTTCTTTTTCTTTCCTTTTTTTTCTTTGTTTCAACCTTCTCTGTTTAATTCAGTTGCTTGTTTTGGCTTTTAGCCAGAGAGTGTGTGAGGGACACATTTAGATTCAGACAACGTGACTGCATGCTACGAGCGACGAGAAATAACGGAAAGCAGGAGCAGCGAGAAAGCCTGAAAAGGACCGATTGTTGATTTCACCAAGATAAACAACTGGCACAACAAGGTGAGTCTCGGAAAACACCATTTGCATTCAGCTACATGATCACAGATTGATTAAACATTCATTTTGCTGTGGCATTATTCCCATCGAGTGTCAGATGCTGATGTCGGAGGCCATCGGCTATTTGCATCTCTCTGCCCGGCAGGAGATTCATTGTAGCTGCTGACCTGCCTGACAGTGTTTCATCTTTTGTTGTTGGTTTTTTGTTTGTTTGTTTGTTTGTTTTTACTGGCCTGATGGGAATCAGTTGAGTAAAACAATAGGCGTACACTTTGGCTGACTCAAGCTTTGATTTCCTTTGAGTTGAACTTTATTACAATACCAGGAGAAAAGTTGCAGTCAGATATGCTACATTATATCTTGAAGATCATATTCAGGAAATACCCAGGGCAGGCAACCTTTTTTTTTAAAAAAAATAAAAAATAACTGCACTCTGAATTTTCCAAGAAATACACTCAGGGTGTAGGCAACGCATGTCAGTATTGTTCAACATTTGCTCTACTTTATGATACACAATGACATTTAATAGAGTGACTTTCAGTACAGCTTGACATTTAAGCATCTTTTCCTCTATCTTCATCCTCTCATCCTATCTTCCCTTTCTCTTTCTCTTTCCCTTCCCTTTATTTTCCTCCAGTCCACCTACATCTCCTCCTTCCCTACATGTCCACTCCACCTCCTCTTCTCCGTTTCTTTATGCACTTGACACCCCCTTTTGCCCTTGTCCACATTTCTCCACCTCCCCTTCTGTCCTCTCAACCCCTCATTCATCTCTATGGCTCTCTCTTTTCCCCTTCATTGATTTGCCCGGTGGCGTTGCTAAGAGACGACCGCAGTCGGAGCGCTGCGAAGGATAGAGTAGATGGAGAGACAGTTTTACCTGCTCAGAAAAGGAAGTGAAGATTGAAACAGGAGATTCTCTGTCAGATATCATGTGGCTTTGGTATGTCATAGCTGAAGCTGGTTGGTTGTGCAAGAAAGTTGCACCAGTAGTTTACAAAGAAACACGTGAGTTTGTGAAGATTTTTTATTCAGTTTTATTTGAACATGACTGCAGTTAAGGATTATTGATTAATGTGCTTTTATGATTACCTTTTTATCTGTTCAGTATATGAAACTGAGAAAATAGAAGGAAATGTCTGTAACTGATTGTCTGGAGCCTAAAATAAGCTTTTCAAATGTGAAGCTGAATCTGAAAATTTGACAGCTCTATTGCTTTGTTTGTTTTATAGTATACTTTAAAAAAAAGTGTCCTGCAACTAGATTTGTCAAAAAAAAAAAAATTGATACTCGGCTACAAAAAAATTGTATTGAGTTAATAGTCATTTGTAAAAGTACCAACAGTGCCATCATTCAGACAACTATAATCAGTTGTCTGATAGACAAATTAGCTTTCTGTTAAAGTAAGAAAAGTTTAGCAGCAACTAGACAGAAACAGTGGAAACGTGCACTACAGACTCTGTTTGATCAGCAGTGAAAACATGGAGCCAAATCACCAGAAGCACTGCTCTACCTCAGACGTCTTAAATCATTGTTGTTACAAAGAAACCAAACACTGCATGGTGTGAGTTTTTTTTTCAATTTTTTTTGCTACCTACGAGAAACTTAAAATATTTGTCCTATTAGTTTTTAATTATATGATATAAATTTATATTATTTTTTGTATTGCTCTGGTGTTTTTCTTTTCTTTTTTAATGCCTCTTTATTGTTTGTAATTTCTTTTCCCTGTGGCATCAAAAATGGCATTGAGTAACGGGTATTTTCCTTGGTGTCAGTATTATGTTTGAAATTTCAGTATCATGACAACCCTACTTACGGGTGCAACTTACTAAGTTTTGACTTAATGCAATTTTGGCATAAAGCCATTCTGGGTCATGTTAAAATCTTAAGATGAAATTTTATATTATCCTGTCTTATTTTGCTATTTATTTATTTATTTTGCCCAACTTCTTATGTGGAAGTGTCTACGGGACTGGTAGTTTTAAACTTGAATAACCTGAATATACTGCTACTACTACTAATAATAATATGGATAATTATAGTAATAACAATTGATAGCAGTGAACAGAAATTTTCATTCACATTTCCAACATAAAAATATGTATAATAATAGATTTCAATCAGGGAAAAAAAGCAGAAAGAAAAAAAAAAAATCTCTAACGCTGTTCTAATTTTAGCAGCAAACACTGTGCCCATTGGAGCACAACAAGACTTTGTCTTCTAAGAACACATAGGGCTTAAGTATAAGCTGGGATGTAGCCTTTCAATCTGTGGTGAGAGGTAAAAAAGTTACAGGCTGGCCTCTTATTGTGTAACCAATTAACTGTTAAACAGAGGTGCCCAGAGATAGTCACTCAGAGCATTAAAACCCAAAGCTAACAGTGGCATTGGTATCTGAACACTACACTACTACAGAGAAACATAAAACCTCAGCCACACCCTGCCGACACCACTTTTTTATGAACTTTTTTCCTGTATTACGAGATAAAGCTAAACCCCCCGCTTGCATCTTATAGATTCTTTTAGGATACAATTCTTAAGCTTTTTTTGTTTTTGTTTTAAATTGGTGTTTTTGATAATGAATGTATGAGTTACCGCACACCATGTGGCTCCTGTGCATTGGGCATGATTGTTAAATTCCCATGTTTTTCCTGGTTTTAAAAGACATGTATGAAGTCTTTCATAATTTTAAACATCTTTGAAGAAGTCTCTGCTTGTTAATGTAGAAACTAGGAATTCTAAAAGTTCTTAGAAACCCCTTTGTGGGGTAATTTACAGTAATTGGTAAAACAATAGTATTAAAAATACAAACTTGCACATTCAGGCCACAGGAGTGTCCCAACACCCACTCACACGTCTTGTTCTGCGTTGCATGTTTCTTTTATTACTTTTCTCACTGTACAGTGGGACTTTTTCAGACGTTACCCAGTGTAACTCCAGCAGTGTTGCCAGCTGTTCACCATCCTGCTCTTCCTTGGTCCCCACACACAGTACTGCATAAATAAGAGAGGCAGAATTAGAAAATATTCACCAGCTGTGCCAGCCAGCATCTCCCTGGCACTGCCCCATGAAACCTTCACTCCACCTTTCCCACCGCAGCTGAGCCACAACCTCACCCCATCACAACCTCATACACAGTAACACATTACTTATAACATATAACATTATAGAAAGACTTTTACATTAGCAGAATGAAGAACTGATTGGTGTAAAAATGGAACAAAACAAGGCAAAATGAAGGCCAGGGCAAAATATATATATAAAAAAAATGGCATTAGTTAGCTCTCAACTGCATGAAGTATACACACACAATAACAAATATCAAAAAGAATTAAAAGAAGTTTACTGGACAGTATCCTTGGCCACACACCAGTGAATACCAGTAACTGGGCACAGTAGAGGCCGAGGTCGTTTGGAGAGTCATTGGACACTAATAGAAACCATATGTTAAAAATGTTTGACATGTGTAATTTTATATTGTATTTCTTCAAAGGCACACAAAAAGTATAAAAACACGTAGTTCACTTTGGATGTCTTAATTGAACTTTTAATTTTTTGTATCATTTAGTAACAGCTAAAATAATGTTGAATTTCACTGACTTTTAAGTCTAACAGTATTGCAGTGTTTATAGCTGAGTAACCAGTAAAAAGGTTTTCCTTTCTATCTGTTGCCTCAGATTCTTTGAAAGCTTACAGAAGTTTAAAGTGCTATCATTGGCTGTGCAGTTTAAAAAAAGCTTACAGAACTGTATCAATCAGCAAAATAGCTACACAAAAAAACAAGACCTAAACAACCGATGTACATAGCAGATTTATAAATATTTAGTTA